CCCCAAAACCCCAAAACCCCTTAAGATTAAATTCAAGGTTTGAATTGCAATAAATAAAATACATCTTAATAAAATTTTAATTTTTTGTCAGATGAAATTCACTTTTATTATAAAACCTCTTCTTACAAATAATTACAAAATTAAATAGATTTTAAATGGAAAGTGCTGTAGAGATACAACATGAATGCTATATATGCTTCATAATAATGGTCTATCCATGCACACTGCCTTGCTAACATACATTTTGCTTCAAGTGTATTAAAAGACATTTCTAAAATAAAACTTAATGTCCAATGTGTCGTCGAGAATATTAGCAGAGTTTTATTCCAGTGATCAATCATGAACTTGCAGCCGCAATTGAAAATTAGAACAAATAGAAATTTTAGGATAGAAGATAAGAGCTAATAAAAGTGGAATTACCAAAAGATAACAATAAGATTTAAATTAAATTTTCATTCGGCAACGAGCATATCATGCTTCAAAATTCTGAGAGATTTAAAAGTGAATATAATGCAAATGAGATTGTGGAGAATAAACATAAGTGGAAAGTTTTTATAAGAATTGTTAGATCAAGAGAAGATAAGGCTATTTTAAAAGCTAGTTAGTTTATAGAAAAGGTTGTCTTCACACTAGACCCTTCATTTATAGAAGATGAAATTGAAATTAAAAAAGAACCGTTTGAATTGAGTAAAATTGGGTGGGGAACATTTGACATTCCAATAGAAATATTTTTCAAAAAAGAAACTGGTAAAACAGATACAGTATCTCTAAACCATCTATTGAATTTCGATGGAAATGGAGAGACAAAATATTTTACTGTTGCTTTTGACAAACTAAAAGTAAAAAAATTGAGTGAGAAGAAAAAAGTATTTCATTGAAGACAAGGATTTGTCATAGAAATTTTAGTATCAATATATAATAAGTGTGTTATAGGTATTTTTAATGGTTTTTATTTTTTATTCCAAATTTTAAATGAATCATTGCTATGGGGTTTTGGGGTTTTGGGG